GGTAACCTTTCTGAATCATAAAGACTACCTTCAGCACATAGCATCTTTGTTTTATCAATCTCACACTCCCATTACTTGAAAAGTTGGTAACCCTTACATTGTCTCTAATCCTGGTTCCTTGACGTGGCCATTACGAGGACTAGTAATACAAATTTTTACAAAATAAAGGACCACCAGGCCTCTTCGGCTTTTGATTTTGCTACTGTTGGATTCACCATTATTTCATAAAAGAAAAGGCAGCCTACAGGAAAGACGGTCTTTGAGTAAAAGGCGATCGTGTCCTTAGTTTCGTCATATCCCACCACGGACGTCGGATTGTGCTGCCGCCGGTCTGCACGGGGGAGTGTGGGGACAGGTCATGCGCACGTCACGCGGATCCACGTTTCACGAGAGTTTGAGTATGTAAATGTAACAAGGACACTGAGGAAGGAAGACCTGTTCACAGTGATAGGAGACATGGAGGGCAATGCCAGGCTACCAGAATAGTAGCGACTCAGAACATTGTTAAGGTAAAACTAAAACAGTTTCAGAAATAAACATGATTAAAAAATTAACCTTCATATTCTTTTGATATTCCCATGCTTTTATTGCATAATAAGAGCTTTTGTTAAGTGCTTGTTATTTACTAAGCACTGGGCTAAATTCTTTTTACGTGGATTATCTAATTTAATTTGAACAGTCCTGTGAGAGATATGATACTACCATTGAAATTTTGGGGGTTGGGAATGTTTTTTACGAGATAGAGCTAAGTTTATCACAGAATTACAAGTCTGGCGTGACTTCTATATAAATGCTCTGGCAGCCTTTCAATTAAACTGGTCAAAGCAAATGTGGATTGAGAATATTTCAAATCACGTGAAAGCTGGCAGACCTTAACTCTGCCGTGGCAGCGGCACAATGATGTTTGGTCCTTCCCCTTCTCAGGCTTCCAGGCTTTTCAGCTATGGTTCAGATTCATTCAGTAGCCATTCAATTTTGAATAATTAATATGGGCAAGACAGATTTTTATATTGAGGGATTAAATATATATATATTTTAAACATCTCATTTATATATTATTTATATTTTGTATGTTATTTATTTATTTTTAAATATATTTTATTAATTATGCCATTACAGTTCTATTTCCCCCTTCATTCCCCTCCACCCTGCACACCCTCTCCCCCACCATTCCCCCCTTTAGTTTATGACCATGTGTCCCAAGTTCTTTAGATTCTATATTTCCCCTACTATACTTGCCTTCCCCCTATCTGTTTTCTACCTACCATCTATGTTACTTATTTTCTATACCTTCTCCCCCTTTCCTTCTCCCACTCCCCTGTTGCTAACCCTCCATGTGATCTTCATTTCTATGGTTCTGCTCCTGATTTAGCTGTCCTCTTAGTTTGCTTTTGTTTTAGGTGTGGTTCTTAGTAACTGTGAGTTTGCTGTCCTTTCACTGTTCATCTTTTTTATCTTCTTTTTCTTAGATAAGTCCCTTTAACATTTCATATAATAAGGGCTTGGTGGTGATGAACTTCTTGAATTTGATCTTATCTGAGAAGCACTTTATCTGTCCTTCCATTCTAAATGAAAGCTTTGCTGGATAGATCAATCTTGGATGTAGGTCTTCGGATTTCATGACTTGGAATACTTCTTTCTAGCCCCTTCTTGCCTGTAAGGTCTCTTTTGAGAAATCTGCTGACAGTCTGATGGGAACTCCTTTGTAGGTGACTGTCCCCTTATCTCTTGCTGCTTCTAGGATTCTCTCCTTCATTTTAATCTTGGCTAATGTAATGATGATGTGCCTTGGTGTGTTTCTTCTTGGGTCCAACTTCTTTGAGACTCTCTGAGCTTCCTGGATTTCCTGGAAGTCTATTTCCTTTACCAGAATGGGGAAGTTCTCCTTTATTATTTGTTCAAATAAGTTTTCCACTGGTGGCCGTTCCTTTTCCCCTTCTGGTACCCCTATAATTCGGATGTTGGAACGTTTAAAAATGTCTTGAAGGTTCCTAAGCCTCTCCTCGTTTTTTTGAATTCTTGTTTCTTCATCCTTTTCTGTTTGGTCATTTTTTTCTTCCTTCTGGTCCACTCCTTTGATTTGGTCCCAGTTTCCTTTCCATTACTATTGGTTTCCTGTGTATTTCCATTCATTTCAATTAATTTAGCCTTCATATGTTCCTCTAATTTGTGACTAAAATCAACCAGTTCTGTGAGCATCCTGATCACCAGTGTTTTGAGCTGTGCATCTGAAAGTTTGGCTATTTCTTCATGGCTTAGATTTATCGGCTCTGGGGCTCTGAGTTGTTCTTGAGCCATGTTTTGTTCTGTTCGTGCCTGTTAGGTATTAGGAGCGGAGTCTTAGGTGTTCACCAGGGCAGGGCCACCCAGGTCGCAGGTTTGTGATGCTGTATGTGGGGGTGGGGTCAGAGAGGGACAATGGCGGTTCCCTCTGCTGCTTCCTGCTGCTGGGGCCTGCTTAGTCTGTCTCACTGCTAGCTCCTTCACCAGTTTATCTGCACATGAATGTGTGACCGTGATCAGCCCTCAGTGGGTCTGCCCACTTCTCCACACCTGGGATCCGCCCACGGCTGCTGGCGCACCTGGGTCTCGTGCCCGGGTCGGTCAGATGGATCTTTCCTGCCCGACCCCGCTCTGCTGCTGGCTCTGCCTCTTACCGGTTTGGCTGAAGGATTCGTTGTTGTCAGACTTCCGTGTAGTTCAATTTTCTGTGGTTTGACTGCGTTTTTGTTGCTAAAACTTTGTTGTTTTTAAACTTGGTTGTGCAAGAAGGCACAGTGCTTCCACCTATGCCTCCATCTTGGTGGAAGTCCTCTAAAGATTTCATTTATATATTTTTTAGAGAGCGGGGAAGGGAGGGAGAAAGAGAGGGAGAGAAACATAAGTGTGTGGTTGGTTGTCTCTTGAGCACCCCCTACTGGGGACCTGGCCTGAAACCTAGGCATGTGCCTTGACTGGGAATCAAACTGGCAACCCTTTGGTTCACAGGCCGGTGCTCAATCCACTGAGCCACAGCAGCCAGGGCTAAATATATATATATATATATATATATATATATATATATATATATATATATATATATGATGGGGTTTCTGTCAAAGAGTACTTTAATCTAGTTAAGATATGCTTATGAAAGAAAAGCTCGTGGTTTTAAGGCAAAATAATATCAAATTAAACATACAGATCAGGGATCTGCAAACAGTGGCTGGCCCATGGGACAAGTTCAGGCCACTGCCTGGCTTTGTACAGCTAATGAGCTAACAATGGTTTTTATATTTTAAAAAAACTGTTAAAACGAACAAGAAAGAAGATTGTGTGATAGAGACTCTATGGCCCATAAACCTAAAATATTTACCCTCTGGCACTTTAAGGAAACGTTTGCCAACCTGTGGTGTGTAAGATAAGCACCATTAGGAAACTGTGTCTAGAGTGGGACTGATGGATTGGTGTGGTCTGGGAGGAGCGAGAGTTTGTATTGGTCTGTGGTTCAAATCGGCAGAAAGGAGGGGGTGCCTGCAAAGGTCTGTGAGGTGCTCGTTCGGCCATACAGCATGGGGATTACCTAAAGGTTTTGTCACCTTTATTCTTGGTTATGTCTCCTTGAAAAGGTTTGTTTTTTTGTTTTTGTTTTGATTGTTTGATTTTTTTCTTCTCTTGACTGTTTGATACTTGTATTTGCCCTTCCTGTGAAATGACTGATATCTATAGTCCTTGTCACATAATTCATGGCCCCCTGCAGGCTGACCTTAACCTGCCCTTCTGACTTTGTATACCACCTCTGAACACAGTGACATTGAAAAGGACATTGTATGTGTATGTTAAATACCGATATGGAAAAAGGGTAGTTTTAATGAAAGGACAATGAGAAAGAACATAAAGATTCCATAGAGCATAGAGCAGGGGATAGCAGACTTTTCTGTAAAGAACCACGTAGTAGGTATTTTCAGCTTTGCAGACCAACTACTCACATCTCTTGTTGCCATAGGAAAGCATCTGTAAACATGGAGGTTAGTGAGTGTAGCTGTGTTCCGGTCAATCTATCTACACAATAGGGCGACCGGGCAGGTTGAGCCCACAGACCACAGTGCACCTGCCCCTCTGTTAGGGTTCTTCTGAGCACTTATGAGTCCTTTGAATGTCAATAGCATTGTCTTTTTTTTTAATTGTTGAGAAAACGAGTGCACATAGTAAAAACTCAAGAGTGCAAAAAGCTTCGTAGTGAAGAGTGACCCATCCGGCCATGAGCTGCCCACGTCCCCTCTCCAGGGCAGCTGCCGCTACTGGTTTCAGAGTTACCGATACAGACTGCAGCCTGCGGGGTCTGTGTGTTGTGGCTGCGACGAACACATTCACGGGGACTGCAGAAGTCCTGTGGAGAAACATGGACGGCACGGCCACTCTCTGAGGGCACCGCAACCCCTGCCTGGACAGGCTTTTGTTGGTTTCTTGTAGCATTACATCAAAGAAAGTTCTCATTCATCATACTTAGGTTAATTTTAAGTGATTACTTCTTACAGATAACAAAGAAAAAAATGTTGCAAATGCACAGGAACAATAAAAGTGATTGATCTGGTTACATTCTGTCCTTGGGATGGCTTAGCACAGACTTTAGGGAGTTGCCTCAGAGATATACATTAAACATCTGCAGTCTTAACTCAGGGTGAGGGAGTTTTAGCAAAAGCAAGCCCTAAAGCAGCGTAGGTACAACGCCAGCCTGGTTCCTCATGGAAAAGCCGATCTGCAGGCCTGGGTCCTATGTGCCGCCTCGCACCTGCTGCTTTTCCGATTCAGTGCTGGGCTGTATTTGCCACTGCCATGCCGACTGGATCCCCTGCGGTGGCAGGAGGAGGAAGGAAGAGCAGTGGCGTTCATAATGTAAATAGTTTTTCAGTACTCAACACCTGGCCATTTACTTCCTACAATACCTCTGGTGCCAGGCATAGAGTGGGCATGTTACAGTGAAGACAATGGTTGACTTGAATTAAATCTGTTGCTTTCAGCGGCCTGGACTTGGAGCAGTGTTCCCTTAAGGTCTTGGAGCCCGAGGGAAGCCCCAGCCTGTGTCTCCTGAAGCTCCTGGGGGAGAAGGGCTGCACCGTCGCGGAGCTGAGTGACTTCCTGCAGGCCCTGGAGCACACCGACGTCCTCCAGCTCCTCAGCCCCCCAGGTAGGCGGCTCCCGGGTGTGTTCTGCGTGGGTCGTGGAGGCAGACTGGACGAAACTAGACCAGGTGAACTTCGTTAAATGTTTTTGGAAAAGGTAAATGTACAGAGCCTCAATTTTCCCCAAGGTTGATGCATATAAAGAACATATAAAAACCAAATACAATGCATAAACATCGATTGGCTTGCTGTTTAAGAAGCCAGCTATTCAAGACATTTTGGGTCAAGTAGAACAATTTAAATATAACCTGCTTATTAAATATTAGGGAATTGTGTGATAATGGTATTGTACTTCTATAGAAAACTGTCCTTACTCCAAGAAGATACATGCTAAAGTATTTAGGGGTAAGATTTCTGTTGAAATATTATAGCCAAAAAATAAATACACACATATTTCTTTATACGTATGTACATGAATGAGGCGAAGCGGGTATGACAAATATCTATGGTTTAAAGTTTTTGGCCAACACGATGCTTTGAGATGTGGCTTGTCTCGATCGTATGATTTTTCATTTCTTGAATCTCTCAGTGTTGAGCGAGGTCTCTCGCTTCCAAAGTGCGATGAGAGGGACAGGAAACAGAGCTGGTCAATGGCCACAGGGTCGGGCAGGAGGGGCCCGGTCATCTCAGTCACTGGCGGCAGCCGCACCGCAGACCGTGTCCCCAGACGTCCAGTTCGCTGTTACAGTTCCACTGGGAGCCGGGGGGCCGAGGACCGGGCGTGCGGTGCTGTCTGCTTCACATGCCTTTGATACAGGCAGTTTTTACTACACAGCAAGCTTGTTTGTGCTGCTGTTTTCAAGTTCACACGAGAAGCCTGACATTATCATTCAGATCTTACTTTGACTTTGTCAGCCCTGGGGTTGGGGGTGCGGGGCCCGTGGTGGTGGTGTGCCGTCCGTTACAGGGACCAGAAAGCCCTGCTCCGACTGGCGTGACAGGGGTGCGTTGGTTCTTCTGACTGAAAAGCCTCGAAGCAGGTCGGGCCTCAAGAAAGGAGGCAGGGAACAGCTGTGTTTCCAAGGCGTTGGTTTATTTTCATCTTTGCTCTACCTTCTTGCCACTGGCTTCCCCCTAAGACTGACGTTATACATAGGCACAAAGTATCTGTGCTTGTTCTTGCATTCATCCTTGTCCCAGCAAAAATAAGATTCACTGTAATTAACTAATTTTGTCCCTTCATGCCTGTTCTTACACCCGTCACTGTGGCCAGGGGACGGGATGTGCTGACTTGCCTGGCCTAGAGCCAGGAGTAGAGTCGGTTTCAGTCACCTTTCCAGAAACCACACCGAACAGAATCTGCATGTGGACCACCAAGCTCAAGTGGGCCTGTTGGGAGGAGAAGGGGTCACAGATCCTGGGGCGGTGACTGAAGTGTCTACTCCAAATGGAAAGGATCCTGGATTATGAGTCAGGAACATTGGACTTTCAGATTATCTTCTACTTTACAAGGCCTAATGTAGATGATAAAATAGGCCTCCTATAAATGCTTCCTTTGCGTTACGCACTTTAATAGGTGCTTGACGTATATGTTTTCTCATTCCTTCTTCCAGACGTAGGAGGCAGGAACCACTAGCTGCTCATGCAGAGTCCCGTCTATATAAAACCAGTAAACTTTTCTTTAAGGTGGTCTTTATTCATGTTTATATTCCCCAGTGCCTGGACTAGTACCCAGCAGTTGTGATGATTAAAACCTTCCAGTCTGGGGTACTCTGCTAGCCACTAAGTTCTCATACACTATGGAATACCAGGGTCTCTGACAATTTAGGAACCTCTCTGGGAAGTAAATACAATTTTATGCTTTGCCTCGCAGGATCGAAGGACTTAAGTGACACAGTGCCTTGCTAGGCCGCGTCCAGACCACACAGGAGGCCTCACGTCTCAGGGCCGGTAGTGTGAGCGCTGGCCTGAGTTTCCAGTTTTCCAAAGTCCCCCTTGTACAAAACTGGGCCTGATTGAAATTGGGTCACTTGTTTATTTATGTGTAGCCTGAAATTTTTAACAGTGTATTTTGATTTTTGACAAGCCAGCCATGAATACAGACAGTACCATACTACATAGTACAATACAGTACCATACTATAATAAACATCAGTAATCTTTTTTTAATTTTATTTTTGATTTTTGTGTTTTTCTCCAAATGGTGGGACTAGCACTTGACTGGCACTGTTCTCCTGTGCGGATCGTTCTGGTATTTGGAAGGGGCCTGCTCCCCAGGGCTCTGGCCAGTTCAAGGCGAGAACAGGACCAGGAGCACGGTCCCTGCATCACCACGTGCAGCCGTCCCTCTGCGGCTGGGGGTTGTGTCAGCCGTAGGCCATTCGGGGTCGCTGTTCCTTGTATGTTAGTGATTTAAGAGGAAATATTTGGGACCTGGCAAAACTCCATAATTGATGGGAGAAATAATCTCTGCTTAGGTTTCCATCTGCATCTTATGTGGATCGTCCAACGCACTGGATTTACAGATATTAAACCAAAGAAATGTAAGAATTGTAGAGAGCTTTAATACTTTAATAAGGATATTGGTAAGAAAAACCTATTATCATTCTACTAAAAACGGAAGCCCTGAACCTTGGCTGGTGTAGCTCAGCGGCTTGAGCACTGGCCTGAAAACCAAAAGGGCTCAGTTTGATTCGCAGTCAGGGCACGTGCCTGGGTTGTGGGCCAGGTCCCAGTGCAGGCCATGTGAGAGGCAACCACACGCTGAGGTTTCTCTCCCTCTCGTTCTCTCTCCCTTCCCCTCTGTCTAAAAACAAATAAATAAATAATGTTGGGGGGGGTGGTTAAAGGCCTTGGCTGGTGTGGCTCAATTATTGAGTTCAGCCTGTGAATCAAAGTGTCACCAGTTCAATTCCCAGTCAAGGCACGCGCCTGGTTGGTGGAGCAGCCCCCAGTAGTGGGAGTGCGAGAGGCAACCACACATTGATGTTTCTCTCCCTCTCTCCTTCCCTTCCCCTCTAAAGATAAATAAATAAATAAAAAGTGTTTTAAAAAGTTCCTTTAAAACACTGGAAGCTCTGATAGAATCAACTGAATCTGGGATTTTGCTCATTCATTTGATAAACACTTACTGTGTCCCCGCAGCTGAGCTGTGCCAGGCACCGGGCACTTTGAATGCAGAGATAACAAAGAATAGTCCCTTCCTGCTGCAAGTTCAGTCCAGTAAGGCAGACAAGCCTGTATGATCACATCCAGTACAGTCATAAAAAAAAGTGTAGAGAAACTTTTATCTGACCTCCAGTTTTTCCTTTTCAGTGTATTCCTGAATCTAGATGAAAATACAAACTAGAAATACTGTTTTCTCTCTCTTTTGAAGTAATGCAGTTTCATAGGAGAACATTAGTTCTTATTTCGCAGAAAGGCCAATGGTCTCTCTCTGGTTGTCTTCAGAGAGGTCTGTTTTGGGTAGATTGACAGTCGCAGATGCTGTGAACCTGTGAACAGGCCTTTCAGACCTCAGTGCGGGGAGAAGAGGAAGCGTTCGATTTCTTTCCGCCCTGTTCTGCCATGCTCCATCCATTCCAGCGGTTTGTGGGATGAAGCCAGAGGTCTCTGGGGCAATGGCTGCAGTGTGGAGTTTCTCTGTGTTTGAGAAACTAACCGAGTTTCTTTTATGTTTTTGTCTGGGGAGTCCAGGAGTAGCTGGGACTGCGTTCCCCCGTCTCTGACTGGAGCACTTGCCTGGACTTGGAGCTGGCCTCAGTGGTCCCTCACTCAGCGTGAGCTCTGAGCCGAGGTGACTCGCCCCCTGGTCTTGCTTTCTGTGGGCTCTGACACCCACTGTATTTTCTGAAGGCGCACCCACCACAGGACTGAGGTTTTACCCTCTTCTGCTTTCTCTCGAATTGGGCTTTTCCACAGCACGAAGGTAGGCCAGCTTGCCCCTCAGTCTGGTCTTGCCTGTACTTGGTCAGAGAAAGGGCTCGTAGTTTTCATTCTTGGAAGGTAGCCGTCCCCATTTTCCAGCGCTAATTGTTTCTCACTTGCTTCTTTGGTCCACTCAGTGACTGGGTCCTCTTGGTGGGACTTGGAAGGGGGTGGGAGCCTTGGGTGAGTGTGCTGAAATTGTTTGAACCAGGAGTTGATAGTGGTTTCTTAGCCCTTTTTTTTGTTGTTTTTTTTTGTTTTTTTGTTTTTTGTTTTTTTTTCATTAAAGGCTCAAAAACCCTGTTCCCCAATATTGGCATCTGTGTCCTTGGTAAATACAGATAAACTTAGATGTGCAGTTCAAAATGTTTTTATTTGTTTCTTTTGTTTTAAGTGAAAACCTTTTGAGTACGTATTTGTAGACTCTATCAATTAGAGTTGCCAAGGAAGCAATGCGAGGCCTGGAGCTGGCTCCGCAGAGGCCGGACGTGGGATGTTTAGAGAGAATTAACATCTGCGTGTGGGTTTCATTAGGTGCATCCGCAGGTTCTCTCCTCCTCCATCGTTGTGACGCTGCCCTTGTCTCACACCCCGCGGTGTCAGGGAGGAGCTGCGAGGCCGCTTCCGGGGCATCTTTTCCATCCACCCTGCCCCTCATTTATTTCATAGCATTTCGCTTTTTTTTAATCTGTTTTAGCACATTCATGATATGTCTTTGCTATTAATTTCACTTTTTACTACTTTTTTCGGTCCCTAAAACAAGAGCAGAGGTGGTAGAATATTATGCTTTAGTAGCCAAAATACGTTTATTTCTCATCGTATCTTCAAAAGAGTACTGTTGTGAACATTTAAGTTTTAAATGTGAGCAAACATTTATGTGGAACATGAAATTTCCAGAGGTTGTCATTTGGCTAGAGTCACAGTTACTGACAAAAGGAGGTGAGAACCCAGGCCTCTTGGCCATGACCTGAACTTGACATCATTTCCATAATGCTGAGAAACTTCTGAGTTGTTTGGGAAATTTAGATATGGGTTATGACCTCAGTTACCTATTTTTACCCATGGATTTCAATTTTTGTTTTCTTCTTGCCAAATTAAAAAGTACTCAAATACTAGATCTTACTTAGAAGAGACTTTTC